TAGTACAATTCCAGGTTTGTTCCTTGACGGATTCTGACCTACGTCAGCTGCCAAAGCAGGGAAACGCTGAAATATTTAAAGTGCAAAATACTGATTTAAATAACAATGCCTGAAATCTGAAAATTTTACTTTACTAAAAAGAAAAAAAAGAATATAATAAATTTGTTCATCTTTTCAAGTCCCTGTCTGGAGAAAAAGAAAAAAAAAACACAAGAAGATAACGAAGAAAATAAATCGCTAAATTGGCTTAGGTCCACTAGATCAACAAGTCCATGTCTTATCTCTAGTGTCAACCACTCGCTGTCACACACTGAAGTTTGGATTTAAAAAAAAACAAAAAAAAAAACAATAGCAAGTTTAGCTCACAGTGACACAGGAGCTGCTGGTCTAGTGCTGCCTCCTGTGGTCAGTTTGTGTCACTGAGGTAAATCTGAACAAAACATTTGAAACACGGAGTTACAAAATAACACATTTTAAACAAAGTTATTGAGGCAGCAGTAGATCAACAACCAGTGTCCCCGTGGACTTTACTGGCTATTTTTGTGTCCTATGGACTTCTGGGTGATTATATCTTAACTTTCCTGTCATAAAAATATCTCCAAGAGATACAGCTGTGGAAAGATTGCGACCCCTAGACTGGATGGATAGATTCTTGTTATTTAGAATTTTCACATGACAACCATGTGTATACTTTCTGACTGTAAGGTTATAACTGCAAATTACACGGTGATCAGGAAAAGTAATGCCATTACATGAAACACAGAAAAGCTTTTTCATATAATGTTATGTTACACAACATAGAACGGAACTATGTTTTGCATGTTCCCTACAGGGTAAAAAAAAAAAAAAAAACATTTAAAAATTGTCTTGGGTGTGGTTAAAATGAACAAACTCAAACAACTGCTTTTAATCTTTGTAATAAATAATGGGCACTATTTCATTCAAGGGTTTTAAAATCGCTTGCTGAAATGTTGTTTCCGCAGCTGGGAGGGTTGGCAATTTTTGCTTTAATTTGCCGAGGGGCTGAAATTTAACATATCGTAAGTTTGCTACCACCAAAAAAAAGAATTCAAGGTTTAAAACGGGGGCGTCATTTTGGCTCAAGGCCTATATGAAAACAAATTTCATGAAATATCATTTTGCTAATCATATCCTGAACATGAAGAGTTTGTGTACTTTCTTTTTTTTTCAAAATTCGGACCGAATTGCACCCTCTAGCGGGCGATATGTTTGACACCCCTGGTTTAAAATAATAAAATCAAAAAAAGTAATATTGTTACATTAAGACAAACACAAAGAATTTATCAGTGACTCAAAATAACAAAAGCACAGTGTTACAGTTCCAAGACTATATATGTCATGTTTTGGGGTGGTGTTTCCTGTGGGATTGGCTGTTAATAATCGTATTCGACGTTCATTATGGTAGATGTAGTTTACGGTAAACATACACTTGATTTGAATTAGAACTGTGAATTACACGCCATATATATGTTATTGACAAATATGGTATTTCCACCGCTGCATTTAACCCATCTAGTAAACATTAGTATAGACTGCATACCATACTGTATTTCAGGGCAACCATACGAATGTTAGGTTCTGGTGGGCCACAGAAAAGAACGTGGTGGCCAGCGGACATTAAATTTGACATATTATTGCTAATGAACAAAAACGCAATTTTCACCAAAAAAAAAAAAAAAATAAAAAAAAAAAACTCTGCCTGATGCTAACGCCATGTTTGCTGCATGCTGCTAACTCCAAGTTACGTTTACCGTTACCTCACTTAAACTTCAGAAGTGGAAATCTATTTCACTAAATTTGCGGCATTAAAGAAGTCGGTTAACATGTAAAATGTATGTTGTACAAACTGAAGTGCCAATAAAAGAATGTTCGCGATTGGTTCAACTAGAACCTGATTAGACTTACATTCAGTCTAATCCACATTTGTCAGTGTCACATTCAGAAAGTTCGAAGTGTAATTAACTACTGTATTTTTTCGGATTATAAATTGCTCGACTAGCCAAAAAATGCACAGTGAAGAAGAAATAAACGTGTCAATCCGGATTATAAATCGCACCAGCTTGTCAGTGTGAAAATAACGGACATGTACATTTTCCATGGTACCGCAGTAGCAGATACTGGTACACAACCCTATAGTGGCCTCTAGCGGCTGTCAGTGTGAAAATAACAAACGTGTGAAATGATATATTTTAAGTTATTTAAGTCGCACCTGAGAATACGTCGCAATACCCAGTCAAAGGATGAAAAGAAGTGCGACTTATAGTCCGGAAAATATGGTATCTCGTTGGTCACATTTTAACTACAGGAATTTGTGGTCCTACACGTCGACAAATATGAAAGAACAGTACACATATACTTAAACTTGTTAGTTACAACGTGGCCTTTGTTCTAGAATATTATGAATTATGAAAAAATACTACCATTGTAATTTGTTGGCAACCCGAGGAACTGCAACACATATCAGCTCTCGAGCCTAAGTTTGGACGTTTTTTTTTTTTTCTGTCTGAGAAACCACAAAAGTGGGCAAACAGAGGATGAAACCTGAAAGGCAGACTTATCAGTAGTGTCTTAGATGTATACTAAGGATGGCTCGATACAACCAATACTACAGCTTGAAGTATCTGCCGATACTGATATCAATCTGTTACACGTTCTTCTATCCTTCAGCAAGCCACAGGCTGCAGTTGTTGAGGCTAAAGTATTGGATTTTTTTTTTCCAATTTTTTTCAATTTATAATCCTAAACTTTTCACCAAAATCGGAACGATACCGATCGCGAGTATCGGATCGAGCCATCACTAATGCATACGTTTTGACTGATCTTAATTTTGTGTGGAAAAACAGAATTTGGATTTAGACAAGACAACATGTAAGTGTCTCCACATACCCGAGTCCTCGGCTGGTTAAGGAATGTTCTCACTGCTTTAGAAAATACACAGTTGTAAATTGAAATATATTACGAGAAAATAGCTTTTAATACATCTTGAGGTCAAAAGATTTTCTCCCCTTTGTGTTAAGACAAATATTTGACAAGATTATCCACCAAATCCTGCCTCAAATCCCTTTAAGTCAGTCGATTTCTGACTTCACTGTCACTGCAATGACACAAACTAACCACAGGGAGCGGTAGCACTCCTGTGAGCTAATAATCACTGATTGTCTATATTTACTTTGGTTAGAGAGTGCGTCCGAAAAGCGAACCACACTTTGAACCTGAACTGCTCTCTTAAAAGTGCGCACTGTCAAGATCGTTCTCCCATTTAGGTTTTTTTTTTTTTTTTTTCTTAAGTTAATTCCAAATTCTCCCTGAAGAAAAACGTGCATCTGTTTTTCCAACCATACACCCTCCAAAAATACTGAGGGAAGACCTAAAGTGTGTCCAGAGATCATATGTCCACAGCCTAAAGTGACGTCTTGACTGGTTTGTCTGCTTTGGAAGCTCCATCTAAGAAGGTCAGGAGAACCAAAGGTCAGGAGGCCTGGTCCATCAGAGCCTGGACTGTGACACTGACCTTCATTAGACCTTTCTCCTCCAGGATGTGGTGAGGAGAACATAATTTGTCCTATGAGACACAGAGCAAAAAGAGGGAGAGAGAGAAAGAGAGGGACCGAGATCCAAAAGGGAGAGCAACAAAGGGACAAGAACGGAGGAAGGAAGAGAGGTTGATAGAGTGATGGACAGAGAGAGAGAGAGAGAGAGAGAGAGAGAGAGAGAAAAGTAAAGAGTAAAAGAGAAGGGAAGGACAGGAAGAGAGAGCAATGGGGAAAAGGGAGAGCATAGAGAGCGAGGATGAAGAAGACATACACAAATATTTAAACCAAACTCAACATCCATTTAGCTGTCAAGATACTCGTGATGCTGTTTAGATGAACAATTGCACAATTTTAATTCTGTCAACAAATAATAATAATAATAATAATGATGATAATAAAGTGTTGGTCATGACACCAATTTTCCCAAAAGAAAAGACATGGTCAGGACACCAATTTTCCCAAAAGAAAAGACATTTCTGTTGAAAGTGAAAAGGTCCGTCTGTTCACACAGGTCAAAATGTTCAGAATTCAACCAAATAAATAAGAACTCAAATCTACATCACTTTTTTTTTTTACTAATCAGATTGTTTTGATCTGGATTTTGACCTAAACAGGCGGACGTGTTTATTCTGTGCTTCAACCTTTACACCAAACCAAAATATAACTTTTAAAAACAAAAGTGAGCAACAC